TCAAACTAAATAGTAAATGTTGATACTGTCGTTCTTTTCTTAATAATATATTAGAGACTTCCATCCATCCATTCATCCTTGCTTCCTTGCTTCCTCCCCCCCCTGATGACGACATACCATTCATCCTTGCTTCTACAGATGGAGACAATGACGTGTAATAAGGTGACGATTTCCTGCGCATGCTCGGAGGCTTGGGAACCTTTAAGGGAGGTAGTTTAACTACTTTAGAGCTTGAAGGCTTCTTTATTTCTTCTTTTGGTTCATCTTTTGGTCTCTCTTTGATTTCGTCTTCGGTATTCTTTTTTATTTCTTCCTTTCTTTCTTCCCTTTTTTCTTCTTTTCTTTCTTGTTCTTCGGGTTGTGCTGTCTTGGGTTTAGGTTGAGTTTTTGGTTTATTTTCATGTTTCTTTACAGTTGGTTTGGGTGGTATTAGTGGTTTGGGGRGTGTTTCGTTCACTTCTGGTCCAACTGTTGTACTTTCTCCATCTTTAAACAAAAAGATAATAGAATTACTAGAATGAATTCGAAAATATTACATACAGTGACCATCTTAAGACGTGCAGGGATTGGATTTAGTGAATATAACCAGTCTTGTCCCCGTTTTGACTTAAAGAAAACGACAAATTAAGAAAATCATAAAGACCAATGGAAACAATCCAATCCCTTAGTTATCGATACTCTATACGAATACGTACACAATACTATATTTCCCTTTTTTCTTCCTCGGAAAGTGCAACAAGTTAAAAAAAAAGTAAAGCACCTTGTACTAAAACGTTTCTAGTATACTGAAGTTTGCCGCCGTGCGACGTTCAGTTCGTCCGTAAGGAGGACCGCCGAAGGACTAACATTCGAAACATCAGTTTTGTAAGAAACGTTTCTTGATACTTATTCACTTGTATTGATTACTTAAGCCAACAACAAAGTCCAAACTAGTAACCCGCACTAGTCATTATCAAAGGAAATTCAAACAATTTAGTTGAGCCAGAGAATATTTAATTTCATGATGAGTATGCCAGTTAACATTGATCAATCATAAAGCACCAAAGCAGCAGATACGAATCATTATTATACAGTACAAATGATTGTATTCTTAGAAATTACTGCAAGTCGAAGGGGATGTTGTTGCCGCCAGGTGTATGTTTCCATGGCAATGGAGTTTAACATTGAATTTTCTCAACATAGTTAATAGACTATTAACTATGGTCTCAATGAATATCCTCTCAAGGGAATTTATATTCTGTCATTTCCTATAGATTCTGTATCTCATAAGTCATTTTTATCTTGCCAAATACTGCTTATACCCAGAACTGAACTAACAGAGTAAGAAGAATCTAAACTTCCGAGAAAAATATATAGACATTTCTGTGTATTTCACTGAGAACATGACGACACATCCCGAATTTTTCATCTATTGGAAACTTTAGCTAAAATAAAATTTAATTCTTAAAATAATTTAAATCATCGTTGAAAATTAAAAGGTACCTTTTTGGCTTTAGTTGATCTTTGATTCAATTTACAATGTGGTATGAATAACTTATCTGTGATTTCCACAAAAATGAATGCGGTTTCGGTTGACTCGACTTTCAATTTTATACATAACTATCGGGCATGTAAGAAATCCAAACTATTTTAAAAAGCATTCATCACGGTAGTAAATCGTAACTTCAAGTCCTTCCATTTACCTTCAAAATCTTCAACCAATAAATTTTGCGTTCCTGCATTCACGGTCGCCATTATATATCTTAATTTTTTAAACTCACTCACTAACTCTCAATACGTTGCTGGACCGGTTATCCTAATAGCGACCTGTCCCAACCTGACTGCGGAGACTTTAAGACTATTAATCTTCATATTCTTACTTTAGCTGGTTATTTTGCATGTTTTAGAGCACAACAACTTAATCTCTTGGTAACAAAACCCATTACAATCAAGTTGTTAATAACACATGCATTAATATTTTATGATATAGTTATTGTAGAAGTAAATAAGTTTAATGACTCCCATAATGAGTATATTGTAAATATTATAACTTCTCGACTGCTAGCAGTACTAGAGCTTAATGATTAAGCCGCAGCAGTTGAATACATAAAATGTGTCCGCCAATAGATGTATAGAGAGCTAAAACTCAAGCATATATCCCTGGGATCGACATTATATGTGAATATAGAGTTTCTTATATTTGTTCTTTCCTGTGCTTCGAGCCGGGTTTTCTCAGAAATCAAGTACTCCTAAATTCCAAATTTATCAGTCCCACAATACCAACACAATACCAATACCAACCCGACCGTGGCATCAATTATTAATTTCTAGCCTTTGATAGAACATTTTAAATTAAACGTTTGTGTTTATTATTTTCATTCCATACTGCATCTTACCTGAATCATGTGAAGAAAGTGAAACGTTGGAAGCTGACCGTGAAAGACTGGGGCTACTTCCACAAATACTTGGATAACTGCTGTACTCAGAATCAATGGACTGCTGGCTCGGATACCTGTTCCTTAAAGCAGGAGTAAATGGAGTATCTACGGGACGCATGCTCGCACGACTCGATGGTGACCCATCTGTAAAGAACCCTGAATCAACGACATTAAGAGGATGTAATTGATTATTCTTACGCCGTCTTCTACGACGATCCCTGGAGCTCATGCTGCTCGAGCTTAGAAAGGAACTGCTATCACTCGTCATGGAAACAGATGACTTCGCCCTTTGGGAAGGTTTTGTTACTGTGGTAGCTGAGGATGAAGCTTTTCTGTGCATGCGCTCCGATGCGGAGTAGCTAGACGAAGAGAATACTGATTGGCCGTCTTGACTGATACTTTGTAGACGCCCTTCAACAAAATGCAAGAAAAAACATTTTAAAGGAAACGCAAAATTGTCCAAATGAGAAGCTAAATACCTCCCCTCAGCTTCCCCTCTCTCTCCTCCCTCGCCCGCTTCCTTGACTTTTTCGCGCTGTCTTTAAAGTATAATGACATCCCATCATTATATATTCAGTAGTCTCCCCAGTGCTCGTACTTTGTACTCACTCTTCCTCCGTCTTATAAATGTCCTGAACCAAAAGAAAATGAACTAAACCTATATTTGATTTTCTCTTGATCTTCTCTTGTCGTAATGTTAATGTAATATTCTAATAGAGACCCGATGGTCAAAGATAAGAGTCGTTATTGACAATAGAAATATTAAAAAAGGTAAATCGCGTGCTATAGCGCATGGATTAATCRTAGCGATGACTCATTTGTGCCCTGGGGCATTCCATAACGTGACGCATCGCCATAAACCACTTTATTACATCCTATATGTCAAAATTATCCCCAAATAATATTGATTAAAAACATTTAATAAATAATTAATTACCTTTTCGTTTCCGTCTTCTTTTTTTTAAGGACTGACGAGACCGCTGACCCGAGACTGCGCCAGTAGTGCTTCCCTTTCTTGGCCTTTCGGGTCGATCTCTAAGCTTAGGGATCTTCTTCGTTCGATGTTTAAAATCATATCCTTCGACATAGTTTTCAGTCTCTTTTCGTACTCTAGTCTTTAGACTTTTAGAATTTATTGCGCTTATTTCACCAGTTGTAGAATTTGGTCTTGCTGCCAGACTCAGATTGGACATCTTTGAGAGAGCCTGGGTTCGGTCTACTGAAAGATCATCATCGTCTAAACGAAGCGGTGGCGGCTTTTTGGCGAGACGAAGATTTGGCACCGAACGAAATCCCGAAGTACTTTCCGAAGATGCACTATCAGTCCGAGAACTTTCCGAATCCGAGGTAGATAAGCTTGTGTCCGAGGACTGACTGCGATTTCCTCGGGGTTTATGGCGCGTAAGTGGTAACACCTTGTTGGTTATGCTGTACCCGCCTTCCGAAAATTTACTCCATCGTGACCAGTTACGTATCGTAACAGACGATCCTCTTCTAGACTGAGAGTCTATCGTAATTAAACTATCTTTTCTGCTTGTCCTACCGCTTGATATTGTATCCCTCTCACTCCAGGGGCTTATCGAGCTCTCCTGTCTGCTCGAAGTTTTTCTAGTTTTCGAACTGTTAACAGAATCTTGATCTCCACGGCTTAAACGCCGTTTCCCTGAATTTCTTGAATATATATTTGTATTTCTCGAGCTCGAGCGAATTCGTGACTGCTCCTTTACACTTTTTAGGGGATCTCCATCTGTAGCCGTTTGACTTTGAGGCCTTGGATGTGCTAGAGCTTCCTGTACATGTTCTGGTTGCGTCTGCCCTCTTGTAACTGAAGGCAAGACACTTGTCCTTTCTTCGGACGTTACAAACGGTGACGACTYGCTCAACGAGCTGTCTTGCCTTGAAGGATTGGTTGGTATGCTACTAACACTACCAGTACTACTCTCGCTACTAGGGTAAAAAGACGACACTGGTGTAGTCCCTTCTGTTGTCTTACCATCATTGGAATCATCTGAGGAATCAGCACTGATGAAGTCATCGTCATCAAATACGCCGTCATCACTGTCCGCGCTAGTGCTTGTGGGTATAGAACTTTCCGACGACCTTCTCCTACCCAGGTCTCTCTTTTTCTTCTTGGTTCGTACTTGCGAGACAGAACTAGACCATACACTGCTGACTTCATACAAGATTCCCTGTTTACTCTTTCGGCTAGCCCTTGAGGGTCTGTTGATCACGTGATTCGGGTCTTCATACGGGATACGGTAATCCTCATCGTCATAAAAAATCGTCTTCCCGCTTAGAGGTCTAGCAGAATTACTTTCATCTCGACTCCTCCCCTCTGGATTTCGCCTCGCTGAGTCGCGCTCTGGTCGGTAAAACGACCGTCGGTTTCGAACTAAAGGCTTATTTTCGCCGAAATCGTCTTCTCTTTCAATCTTATTGTCAAGCTCATCATCAAAAGATACCGCGGAAAGGATTTCACTTTTCCCATCAGCCGCAGTCCGCTGTGGTATCTTCCTTCTTCCATGAAAACTGTCGGTTTTTTTCAGTTGTTCTTCGAATTTCTTCAAATTCTCTGATGTCAGGGCGTAGGTCTTTATCTCATTTGCTTGATTTCCGTCTTCAACTTCCATATTGGTTTTTAGTGTTCAAAACTGATTAGCAGGTTCTGTAGCTTATTGTCTTGGAATATTCATCTAGAATTAAAGAAAATGGCATTATTAGATGCAATTATGAAAACAAAAGATACTAATGACTCAGTTTTGTTCTGTTTCTTATCTAATTTATACTTTTAAATAATTGTGTATACTGGCTTGAAATTATTGTTGAATGTGAAAAAAAATGTGAAAGTGATGGACATGTTTTGCTGCGAAACATCGAAACACTGTCTCCTGAAAACGGTAAACGGTTTGTTTAGTGAATATAAAGGATTTTTGTGGTTTTTGCTTTTGAAAAGGAGCAAATTAAAAGTTAAGACTAGCAAATGGATTGACTTACACAATTCATATTTTGATCCTTAAATTTAATTTTGAATTTATATCATTATTTCAGTGTCGCTAAAATGCCACTAAAAAGATGGAGAACTTAGTTTAACGGACGTCAACTGGGCACGTTTACTTAATTTCGCGAAAATATGGGAGCGGAATTTTGCAAGTATTATTTTTTACGACTGTGAACAAAACCAATTTGAGTAAAACTGTACTAATTTATTTTGACAATTTTAACTGTGATAAGTCTTCCACTATTTTTTTGTCTTCTTTTCCAATGTTCTCCTTGAATTAGACTGGATTAGGGTTCCTCGTTTCGTTATTCCCTCAGAGTTTTAATTTCTTTTAATGATTTCAAATTAGCGTCAGTCATGTTTACAATTAGTCAAGCGTTTCCATGGTAACATATAGGAATTCCAATTTATAGTTTTTTTTCGTTTTATAGTTACAGAAACGTCTATCGCAGGGGCGGCGGAAGCTGAAAAATTTTGGGGGGGCACTCCAATATTTCACGGTACCTTGAAATGACCCCCCCCCYCCCYCCCTGTTTAGCTTGATTACAAACGTGTATGTGTGATATTTCAATCAGTAACATTTTGCDCGCATTAAACCACTTGCAATTGTTCTGAGAGACACAAAAATGATGCAAGTCGTCGCTAGATATATCGTATATTTTTTAGATACAGAAAATTATGTAATATCACAATAATAAATAATGGTAATCATAACCAAATCTCATGCGGTTTCTTTTTTTTGTGTGTGAGGCATTATATTCTGGGGGGGCCAGGCCCCCCCAAAAAATCTAGTGGGGGGGCCAGTGACCCCCCGGCCCCCCCGCTTCCGCCGCCCCTGTATCGTAATTCGGCTTCACTTTTGTTCGCCTGCTCTATAGTTTTTTTCACCATTTTTTTTTTCCCCCATTCGTAATTTTCTTTGCCCTTGCACTCTTGTCTCATAATAACGTTCGAATGCTTCAAGCTTTGTTCTCTGTTTTGCTATCTTGAAATCATCCTAGTTTTTTCCCTAAGTAATTCCTTTTTGTTCTAAATGATAATCCCATTATCGGCAAGTTTACGACCATTATGCGATAGCAATCAACAAAATCAACCCAAAAGGAGGGCTTAATCGAACCATGAAAAGCCACGAATCATCCAGACAGGAAAATCCGTCCACTGATAGATAGTATCATAAGAAGCTATGGCTAGCCTAAAATCTAAACGATTGCGCGTATTAAAGCCTTTAAAGCCGGGAAAGACGAAGCTTCCGTCATTGTGGTTGTTAAAGATTATTAGCTTAATCCTCGATATTTCCCTCCCAGAAAGGAAACTATAATAACCGCGAATTAATCAACTTACTGTTTGACTACGAAAGCTGCATGTCATAATACATGATTAAACTTTTGTCTCAATTCCTGACTGTACCATTAAAATGAATCTATTCCATGATAACTCTTTAATATATAAATATCATAACTGCTGTTCAGTTTTTGTATTATTCTCGGGTATTTCCTTTTGTTGCAATGTCTTGAATAGATGTTTTATAGATTCTTTATATTATTACGTTGAACGTATCATACAAAATAAAAGACCTCAGTATATCTTGTAGAAGTAGGTATACGACTACGATGCTCAGTTCAACGAGCCATTAATCTTGATAAATAAATTATAATATCCCAGAAAAGCGCTTTTTCTTCTTCATTTACTGAATTATTTATGACCTGTTGTCGATTAAATTGTGACTTTTAAAGGTACTTCGTGGTTTGCAAAAAAAATCTCTTTCGCGACCAAATGTCAAGTGCCGTTTTCGCTCCCTTGTTTATAAGAAAGACATGTTGTTGCATTAAATGTAAGCAATCCTTAAATAAATTGCGATAAATCGTATCATGGAAGACCCTAAGTTTTTTATACTCAGTCCTTAATTTTTCCTAAGGTGTCCTTGTTTTTTGACTCTCAGTTCCTCAACATGACTTTTTTTAGATTAAGTACCTTGAGTACTTTTACTATTTGCGTTATGAAAGCGAAAACAAGAAAAAGACGGACATAAAAAACGGCTTATAAAAAGCAAATGTTTGTATCAATATTATACAAATAATGAGCTCAAACTTGAGTTGGCATTTATCCGCGTTAAAAGTCGTCCAGAAATCCCTTGAATTTGTCTATCTTTGAAGCTCCGAGGACTGTACACTATCAGGTTCTAGGTAAAAGGTACAACTTTTGTATATAAACCATACCAAGAAGAATTTCAGTTAGTCTTCCTAAATTACTGTGGTAATTATATCTTTAAGGACGATATTGTTTATACAGCAAACTCATAAGCAAACATTTTACATCTCAGTACGTTTGCTTTCCTAGAAAGATTCGAAACACGAGATTTTTTAAAAGATACTTTGTCAAAAGTGCTGCCTTTTGTCAATTTTACTATAAAAAACTCCCGTAATTTTTTTCTAAGAGGAACCCTGTAATAACTCGACGGATACGAGTATTCTTATTCCTATTTTTTTACATTTCTTTAATTTTTAAGTCTTGTCGTTTAAGGATTTAATTTACACTTGAAAAAGTTGAAGTACAACTAAGCTCGCCATGCTACCATGAAAGCGCATCTATCAAACTCCTTACATGATGGCTACTCAAGATTGTTGGCCGGCGCTTTGAACATTTTAGCGACCTTGATTACGTAAAACATGCTTTTAATGGACCCCCCAAAAACATCCAAAAAACAAAAACAATTCTTACCTTTCCGTGTTAGTTTAATTCATCGTCCGCGCATTTGCTCAGCACACTACCTCGTAGTTATTTAGGTAACACTTCTCCCAGCTTCCATGTTTTTTTTACACCAGTTATTATGCCATTCGCGTAACCATGACAAGGGAACAGAACTCCCCAAAAGCGTGTGGTACATTTTAATTAACATTTATCCTGTTGCGAACTAAATCGCCAAAATAGAACTACAGATGAAGGCAGTAGTTAAAAGCTATTCAGTGATTGGTTGATTCTAAGAATTGAACGCCATTTGCCCGCAGGTGTAATGAAGTCACAGTGGGTTTGATGAAATCAGTAAAGTATGGTATTATCTTACAGACTTATTAAAAAAATATAACTCGCGTAGAAGCTGAAGCTCTTAGAGAAGAAGTTTTTATTGGCGTTCGCCAGCGGCGCCGTACTGCTTTCTTATAAGGCTTTTGGCGAAAGAGAAAAAGAGATAAATGATATATGCATTAACCGTAGTGTTTCGTCTTTCCTCATTCAGGTATTAGAGAAGAAAAATTTACAGCGGAAGAAAATAGATTTTCAACATGAGAATAGTTGAGTGTCGTAAATTTTGAACGTAGTGGTAGCCGTGTAGTCAGGATGTTAAACCTCACGAAAGAGCCCCTTACTGGGAGTAATAGTTGCAAAAAAATTTTTTTTTAGATTTCAAAGAAACAATTGCTCCCTAATAATTGCCTTATTAATCTTGATAAATTCCTTTTTCTTCGTCACTTACTTTCCATTTTACTTTCATTTTCCTTCCTTTTTTTCATTTTCCTTCCATTTCTTTATTTTCCATTCATTTTTTCTTCCATATCATCGTCCTTCCTATTAATTGTTATCTTTTACTGTGTGTAATAAAAAAAAAGCTGTCAAAGCTCGAATGTAGCCTTCCTTCACAATAGGACTAGCTCATTCCTCAATGAAATAAAAACCAAAAGATAACGGATATTAAAGATTCACATCAACAAATAACCAAGATGTTTTTGAGCGGCAATAATACGCAGCAATAAACTAAGATTCTCAAATAAAACGACAATCGAGTCGTTGAACATATTAGTATATACTTCCTAGAGATGCCATACAAAGCTAAGGTGGTCTGTTATTATTATTATTTATTCTTATAACAAAACAAAAAAACAAAAAAAAACAAAAACAAAAAAAAAAACAAAAAAAAAAAAACTGAGATGAATAGGAAAAATATAAATTAGCGACTCACCCCTCTTGAATACGACTCATCTCTTTCCAGTTTCCACGATAAATTTTCAATTTCAACTTCAAGCTGAGCTTGTTGATATTCAAACTATGAGATTACAAATATTTCTAATTACGGTCTTATTTACATTTTTGGCAGAGTCTTACTTCTGAAYCAGAAATAAAAAGTGAAAATCTCTCTCTTAGTCGAGAGTTCAGCATAATTAAACCGCGCGTTATAAATAGAACATTTTGGCTTGTGCGCAAAGATTCCCCATTTTCGGCAGACCACTTGTCATTCTCTCGAGAATAAGATTCTTTGTTTCAGATATACACTGTGTCGTTCCATATTCAAGGTTTCAGTTTTGATTGTGCACTTGATTACATTTATATTATCGTYAAAAAAATTCATAGAACACTCACTAGTTTTTTCCTGTCTGTTTCCATAAAGTAGGCAAAAGGGTAGGTATACATTACAGTGTAGCGACACTAAAAAACAATGAAAGTGAAAAAGGAGGTTACCTTTTCCAGGCTGATCCACAAAACTATGTACCAAAACCATGAAACTTTTTTTTAAATGAAAAATGATTATTATACATCGATAAATGAAACTGAAAACGGATGTACCACTCAACCCTCTCTTGTCGTTGTACANGGAAAAAAAAAAAAAAAAAAAAAACAGAGGGCGCCTAATTGACTATTTTAGACCGGCTTTCATTACATATTATGTTACATAAATTTATACACCCTGAAACTGAGCACTTGACCATATGTTTTGCAAGCCATGGCGGTCTGCATTCTACTTATAGAAATACTAATAAAAAATTAACCAGAAAAACGAATGAATTTCCTGTTGTAAATAAACTGAGATGTCGCGGAAATATGGCGTCGTCATGACAACAGTTTATAATCCAAAAAAAAAGAAATTCAGTAAATCTTTGTTTTAGTTTTACGCATATCTCTGTGTCTTTTCGTGCGCAACCGTTAAACAAAAAAGAGTGATATTCTAGAGAATGACATGTGGTCTGAAAAGAGCTAAAGAGGTTTATTTACCCAAAAAGAAAAATGGAGATCGCCAAAAAGAATACAGAAACAAGAACCAACGAGTGTGGAAAATAATGACAAACTCAAATGACATGAAGTTCAGAGGATTAATATGGAGTCTTTTTGTGTCTGCAAGAGCTTATTTTCACATTATACAAATTATTTTGTTAATTTAATTAGACAATGTAAAATTACAGAAAGACATGTTATAGGTTGCCATGACAACTATAAGCTATGGGAATATCTTACATGCAATTTATTTTGGAATGAAAGTGTTATCTCGATACATATTGATGAGTGCAAACTTCTTCTGTGGGAAACTTTTTTGAGTCTTAAAGACTGTACACAAAAAAATTCCACTTTATATTAGACAGACCATATCAAATTAATTTATGTCATGTTAGAGTGTATACCATATCTGTGAAAAAGTTAACTAACAAAATTGTACAAATTAGTGAAAAGATTTGTAGGTCTACGGTCTACTGAACATACTAACTTGTGAAAATTTGTGCAATTTCTTAGAGAGTTGTACAGATATATGGTTTGCACTCTAGAGCATAAAGCACTTTTATTGTATAGATATGGATGAAATACCAGGTTTTCTCTAGTGTTGAAAACTCGATATCTTTCACCAGTGGAAGATACCATATCTTTCACACGTGAAGATATCGCTGTTGACATAGTAACGTATTTTAATAAAGAATTTTTGAGCTCTTGTTTTATTTAAGTTTCATCAATATCTATATAATAAACAGAACATTACATGGCCGCTTGGAGATACAAATTTTATCTTCTTGTGTTCAATTTAGATATCTCACTCATTCGCTGCACTCACTCGTGAGATATCAATTGAACACTCGAAGATAAAATTTGTATCTCTGCGCACCCATGTAATTATACGCAAAATTTTTTTAGATTGAAAAAAGTGTGTCCTTAGTCATGTACATCATGTATATATTGATGAGTACCATATGAAGTATTTATGCATATTGGTTATTAGAAATCAAGCAAATTGTTTTACTGATTAAGAAGTGAAAAATGAAAAAAGTAAATATACTACTAGCTAAAATAAAAAACCTTTTTCAATCACAACGATAATAGAGTACAAGCACTATAAGTGTGTAACATAAATACCACTAAATACTGCTAAATAATGCTAATCCTATTGTTTTCCATCGTTTAATCAGCACTATTTACTACTAAATAGTGCAAAGTTTTGCACACTTTTAGTGTTTGTACTCTATTAGTAAGAAATAGATAAATTACAGGTCAATAGGCTGGGGGGTTGCAGCCCGCTTCTTCGGGTCACACCCGCTTATCCTCTAAAAGGCTTTAACAAGTAACAAAAAATTTATATGAATTTCCTTTCCAACTAAGTGCTTAACTAGTCACCTCAGTCCTTCTATAATGCTCCCTACCCCTCCCCTGAAGTAAGTAGTATGCTAACTACAAAGAACTAACTAATATACATCAATCTATCAGATATCTTATGCTTGATACAAAAGACTTTCTGATTCATCTGAACTTTATCCTAGAAGGGTCAAGGTCCAGGGCAAAGTTCAGATTTAACACAAGGTAAAAAACATTTAAGTTATTTACAAAGTCCTAAGATTTTAGCTTTTGCTTCAATGAATCCATCTGTTTCACCATTGCTGTTGACTTGGACACTCACTGTAGACCATTTACTTCCACTCTTCTTAGTAACCTCCTGTAGTTGGACAACTGATGTCACTTCTGTCAGGGATCTTGCTTGTGACAGATCATTTTTACTGGTGACCAGTAACACAGGGACCCCATAAAGTTTTGGTTCTGATAAGAGTCCATGAAGTACTTTATTTGATTCTTCAAATCTACTTGGGTTGCTGGCATCTACAATGTACACTAGTAGGCTACAGTCCTCAATAAAGTTAGGCCAGTAGTCTCGATATTTCTGTGAACCACCAACTATGATTTTAAATAATAGTAAAAGTATTTAGTATTCATAGAACTACTGTACATTAGTAAAGGGTTCTTGGAAGAACAAGACACTCATGTAAGGTTCAATAGCCAATTATACTGATGTGGAAGCTTTTACCCCGGACTCACCCCCAGGGGTCATCCCCTAAATCCTTGTTTAACCCCACTTAACCTCATTTTGAACCATTTTAATGCAAGTCAACATGCCTGCTGCTTGAGAGATCCGTGCATTTGGATTTATTGTCATAAAAATAAAGCATTTGAATAAGTCACACTGAAATCATTTCATATTTCATGGAGGCAACTTGTCCCTATGTACTACATCATATTAGCACAACTACTTTTAATATAGGAGAGATTCGAGAAATTTTGAATGCAATTAACGAAAGTTAAATTAAAAATTAAAAGATGTCTAAAGAGTTGAAATAATAAGAGTGAAGAGATAAATATATTTACAGGTCGTATCTAAAGCAAACAAAACGAATTTGGATAATGAATTTGCACTACTGGTTTTTATAAAATAACTGTTATGAATGTCGCATCCTGATTGGTTTGGAGGGCGTGCTTTATGAGAGCACATTGCACGCGCGCTCACTTTCTGTTGCGTTATTCCTATCTATTATTGTAATTTGTATTTTATAAAAGAAATAAAAAACTTGATTTCTGTGCTGAGTGCAGTCATAAAGCAGTTGGGGATTGGCAGAACACTCGAGAAGTGTCCAGAAGCACTCCGCTACGCGTCATGCTTCTCCTAACACTTCTCTCGACAGCTCACAGCACGCGCGCGCGTTTTCTATTTCTTCAATACATCATCAACGCCACAAATATGTCAATTGAATAAAATAGCTGATGTATACTTGCCTTTATTTGTGTAGTCCTGTTATTTACAACCTAATTCTAACAACTATGATAAGATCTTTAATTAAGCGAATTAATACAATATGAAAATGTCAAGCTTACTTTCCCAGATGTTCAGGTTTAATCCATCGGTTGTGAGGCAAACCACGTTAAAGCCTTCGGTTGGTTGTGTGCTTGCTCTTGTAGTCGAGTCAGGTTGAGCCAAAGCTGCCAAGAAAACACTCTTTCCTGCATCATCTAGACCTAGAACTAAAATCCTTTTCTCGGGAATGCTTTCTTCTTCGTCGCTTTCGTCAGATTTGGTTACTTTAGGTTCAGTGGTGCTATTGTAGAGAGAATAAATGCCGTATGCAGACGCTGTGAGAGCAACTCCACTGGCAACGACAACTGCCGCTTTTCCAGCCATTCCAAGATCTTTGAACCAGTTAGATAAACCCATTGTCGCCCTGTCACGCTTAAAAACCCTAAGAATCGGAAAAGGGAGGGAAAATAAAAGGAAATGGCTAAGAAATCTGGACTAAATTCAAACTAAATAAAGCTCGAATATTTTGAACATAGCAAACAATGGGAGCTGTCACAGTATCATCTTGCACAGCGGTAAATTTGTAAGGGGCTATACTTCATAGAAAACTACTTTGGGTGTATTTTTTAAATAATAAAGGTGATTCCATTATGACATGGAGTATCATTCTTTAAATTGCTGTTCCAAGATGGCGGAGGTTAGTGTTGTATCTTGTCATGAATGATTTTTATTCCTTTTTATGAATGAGATATTATTTAAAAACCTGCTTCTAACTCATTACATGTAGATGAACTATAATGAAGATTATGGATCTGAATTTGATGAGCAAGAGTCTAAAAGGTATAAACGAATGAACTGAAAAATATACTTCAAATAAAAACTGATCTTTTATTAACTTTCAGTGTTAGTTCAGAATGCATGCTTTAATACTAAGCTTATTTTTGTTTGGTAGAACATGGAAAGATGATGAACTTTCTGGTATCAAAAGGAAGAGCAACRCGACTACAGGTGTGACTTCAAAGAAGTTCATGACAGAGGAATATAGCAGGTATGAATCATCATAAAATGACCACAGTTACACAAGTCTTTAAAATTAACTGGCAGACGTATAATAGTCCCTTTTACAGTTCCCTGCTCCCTCTTGAAAGGCCAACGTGCCTTTGCATTGAAGCGAGACAAACGGTGAGCTTGCAATGATAGAGACCTTTGGACAATTATTCACATGTCTCTACCATTGCAAGCTCACTATTCATCTTGCTTCAATGCAAAGGCACTGGTACCTTTCAAGATGGCACCAGGAACTGTGAAGGGGACTAAAAAAGATAAAACACCTATATTTATCATTGGTAGTTCCTTCAGTTGAAATTTAACTGCTATCAATGGAAGCCAACGGTGCGCACTTTACCCCCTCTCACCATCAGTGCTCTGTTTTAAGAGTATTTAAAGCTGAAGCTACACGGATTAGAGAGAAGTTGAAACAGACGTGGAGATCCTAAGGATCGAACCGTGGACYTCAAGCTCTGAAGGTCGTGCACTAACCAACCGAACTAAGCCTGCTCCTAATATTATTAGTTGCTATACCAAATCACTTTACCCGATTTATTCACATTAAGATGTGTATGTCTTCAGGGTAGAAGGAAGGAATCAAAGGTTCCATTTTCTTGCATTAGATGCTGTATCCTTTGCCCCAGTGTTTATGTATCTATAAAGTTTATGCGAATTTTGAAAATGAGATATACGTTATAGGCAGTGTGCAGCCGCAGTTAAGCATGAAGGGATGGTAAAACACAAAAGAAGTGTTAGGAGAAGCAGGACTGGTAGCTGAGTACTTCTCAACATTTATTCAACATCTATTGCTTCAGTGATTTTTACCCATACYGCCTTTGGGRCTAGTCACATAGTCACAGAGCTAGTCAACAATAACGTTTTTATCAAAAGACTGTATAAGATATGAGTGGCTGTGTCATATACAATATGCAAACACAAGCCGGAGGGGAGTGATTGTATATTCTATACAACATGACAGCTTATATTGTATATTACTTAACATTAAACACCTAGGTTAGTTCTTTTGTGTTCTACTAAAATTTTCAAGATAAGAGTGAATCTAAAAGAGAAAATTCAAGTTAAAGTATCAGAATTACAAACTCCTCTACAGTCATGATTTCTATTGTGTTTTCCTTGTGAATCATTAATGAGCAATGATAAGGGCTGTACAATGTTCAAAACTATGAACACATTTAATGCATTTGCATACTTGGTTTTGCAGTGCCACAAGCTTTTAAATGCCTTATTTGGTAAAACCATCCAGCTTTGCATCTTAAGCATTTGCATAGAATTATGCAAATACATTAAATATTATAATCATAGTTTTGTGTGTTGCACTGTATCTAATTTTGCTTAAGAGAGATGAAAGCCTGTCTGTCTTAACTCCCTTACACCAGCCCCTACACTCCCATTCTATCATAAATTATGCATATAAACCTTTATCTTTATAATCAAAGTAGGGCTAAGAATAACGGCCAGTCATCAGACAATGTATGGCCAGAACTGGATCTTGGATGTTCAAATCTTTGCCTTGCAGGTTATTTTGACCGGTAATGTTGAGCCAGAAATAAGGTATGACTGAGCTAAAAGGTCATCATGACTGGCCATCTTCCCCCAACATAACGGTGCACATCACCCCTACTTTTTTCTGCCATGTTTCCTTGACTTGTAACATCTAGTATTCAAGGCACAAAAAGATGATAAATGATTATCTGTTGTACTATGGACCAGGAATTGAACATTTCAAAAGAGACAGGTATGTTTGTTTAACATATTTTGTATTTGTATTAAGTAAATATTGGGTGAAGTATTGCAGGGCCTTGCTTAGGGGCTTCGAGCAAAGTTGGAAATGGCTAAAAATCATGATCAAAATCTCATACTGTCCCAACAAAGCATTCATTTAACTATTCTGAAAATGTAGTGGTTTGAGGCTGTCAGGTTATTTGGAATCTATTAGCGCCCAATGGATTGTTTGTGTCAATGAAAACCAGGGACGGATTTATGGTCTTTTTCTTTAAACGTAATTGTATTTTCATACGGTCTCAAAGGAGCCAGCCCGTACCTCTCAGAACGAGTTACATGATTGGATTAAAAAACAATAGATTGGTCATCCAAACAATAGCACTAAACCTAACCTTACAAAAGCGGTACTTTACTTGGGGAGCAATGAAAAACCAGCTTTTGAGTGGTACTGGATTACTCTCTCAAAGGTTTTATCTGAGGATGATGTTTTCTGGCCCACCCTTTCTTTGATTCCTAGATCCACCCCTGTAAACTTCCAAGTATTTATTTCCTATTATCTCAATTCATAACGTAATAAAATGTTTGATTCTAAGTTTGACTGCTTGGTGTGAGCCAAAATCGCTCAAGTTTTAGTTATCAAATGAACATGGATGTAGGAGCTGGGGGTAGGGGCTATGTCCCCCCCCCACCCACACACACACACACTTTTTTCTGCCGTGCGCTTTCTAATTTTTCATTTTAACCCCCCCCCCTCCCTCCTCCCAATAAAAATTATGCTCCTACGTCTCTGATAAACAGGAAGGAAGGGACATAAGCAGGAAAGGAGTGCTTCTCACACTTCAAAGTGCTTCATTACTGAACTACGCACAGGGGAAAAAAGCTATTGTAATTGTTTTATTATCTAGAAAGAAAATTTGCTGCAGTTTTTAATACAATTTTGGGATGGAAACGTTGCATGACAGACACTAAGAACGTCTGCGTAGGAGGCTAGAGAATGATTCGCTTTATTTAAAAAAAGCTTCTAAATGTACATTGATCGCGTGGTAATCACGAAAATATCCAAATAACTATAAATTGCTTATGGTTTGCGGATAGAATAAAATAGTTGAACACGCTTTTTAATGCATAATAAGTTATCGTTGGCATAGAGCTCTAAGGAAAAGTCGAGTTTTAAAAAGTTCACCTACTTCACGTCATTCTTCACGCCTATTGAACGATCTCTTCAGAAGCAGTCGCCTTCTTATGGTTTGATTTGATTCGATTTGAAGAATTTATTTCGAGAAGGATAAGACGTATTAATTAACTTACGAAATTTATATATCATACAGCCCTTAAAAAATGTTTTCACAGTACTGTTTGGGGTATTTTACTAAGCTCAAAACCTTGAAAATTTCGTAAGGGGATTCCCCAACTTCATCTCGGGGGGTTTGGGAACGGGGTTGCGAAAAGCAAACAAAAGATGGCGGTCGGTCGAAACGAGTCGAAACAGAAATAGAAAGTATGTTAAAATTCAACGCTCAGCTGAAAAGGATTATAAAATGAAGTACTTCAATTGTCGCTAAGTATGAGCAACCCTACAGAAATGACATCGCAAATTGATCCCGTTTCATTAAGTAGCTGCAAGGATACGAAGTCGCATGCAGATATCAAGGTTCCAAGGTGGCCTTATGACGAATGGAAACTATTAGAAACGACTACAGGACATCCAACAGTGGAAGGAGACTCTGAAACACGCTGTCCGAAGCACAAAAAACCGAAAGTGGCTGGTCCAGTCTTTGTAAAGTTTTTAGAACTGTTCTCAAACCAACTTGATATTCTTAACAGCAGTAAAAGTAAAGAAATCCTGAATGACATAACAACACTTCTGAGAACGAGCCTTGAGGAGCTTGGAAGGTCTTATAAATGCTTCGAAAAATGCCGACTTATCCAAGCAGGTAGCGTAACAGAGAAAACAAAAGTAGGAGAACCGAACGAATTTGACTTTTTAATTGTGCTTGACTATTTCTCAAACAAGGAACTATTCAAACTTAAGGTTAGAAAGGATGAATTTAAAATATATGTCAAGCAACCAGAAAATGTGGACGAATTCACTTTCAACTTATGTGATACAGAAACATCAGAAGGTGTGGGGTGCATTGATAGCTCAATGCGTTCCCAGTTTATGGAACTGTTGTTACAAATAATTGACAAATATTTGCCAAGTGGATGGAGAAGAGAAACAGTGGAGAACAAATCAATCTGCAGTTCTGGGATAGCTTGCACACTGCATTTGGTTTCTGAAAAGTTTAATTTACATGTAGATGTTGACTTATGTCCTTGTCTGCATATTGATGATAATGACTTTGAAGATGCTTTAATGATGCCTGAAAATGTCAGTTCACTCTTTTTTCCTTATTTCAGTGCACAAGTCTTACTTTTTGGTTACATGCAAGACCTTTTAGAGACATCTAAACTGGAACTGTTTGCAATACTTGGTAAAGAAGGCTCTTCTTGTGGTGCAATTTCAACAAGAATCACTGTACCTTTATTGGAGCTCTCATGTTTTCTTCCTTATGGACCAAACAATGGCCGTTTAAAAGCCTACTCCATTACAAAGTGTATTTTGTCATGTTTCCTTCCAAAACTAACAAAGGTCTTTGGTTGTAAATGTTGCTGTCATAAACTTGTTAGGTCCTACCATATTAAAAACATATTCTTTTACATGCTTAAAAACTATGAGGAAGATATTCACTGGCAAGATGACAAAGTCCCTCTACGTGTTTTAGAAATATTTTTAATTTTGAGGCAATGCATGGAACTTTCTGATGAGGAATCCAGCAATGATGCTGCTATTTCAACATTTTGTTTGCCTGGAACTCTGTACTTGGAGAATGTTACCAATTCAAGTCCATACTATGCAGATGAAGGTGGAAGTGAATTCTTTTTCACTCCAGATTCTCATAAGCCCAGGTATCAACTGAGTTCATCACCAGTGTTTGAAGAGTATCTTACAACTGGAAATGATGAAGCTGATGGTGCACTGAGGGAATGGTTTAACACGTTAAATAGCAAACCTTGGAACTCAAAACAACTTTTGCAAGATCTGATAACCTTATTAGATAGGTTAAATGAAATCATCCCTTAAGATAGTAAAACAGTTTTTACTTTATCAAATGCTGGCTATAATGACATTAGATATTTAGTGGAAAGACGTTTAGTATGGTCTGTGGTGAAATTCAGCTGTCAACAATGTACCAACCCAAGTATGTTTGATGTGTCTAAATGAGATGAGACCACCATTTTAAGTGGTCATCCAATCCATGGTGAAGGTCTAACCATTTGGAACTATTTTTAGAGCAAAGACAGCACCTTCTACTCAGTTTTGAGTGTTGGTCCAGCCAAGGCTTTAACCAAAACCTAGAGCACAATAATGTCCAGCCAGAAGGGGGATTTTTGAGCCATTTCCAACTTTGCATGATCCTTACAAACATGGACTCTTAAAGGTCTTTTCATTATAATTATTTCTACCTTAGTGTCTGATTTTGCTAGTTCTAGAGATGCTACTGACTTAGATGTTCTTCGAAAGGAGCACAGGTTAGTTACCATGAAAACCTTTCATTGAAGATGTTTCCAAATATTCTCAATAGCCCGATAATATTGCTCTGACATAATTGTATAAAATTTCCCAGTTATTTAATAATGTCATCTGATGACTCTTGAGGCATTGATTAGACTTCTAATATTAACAGGACATCTACATTATGGAGTTGTTAACTACAGCTACAAGAACCCCATGCACACTTTCTTTTGTTCAGTTAATTAGCACCAATTGTCTTGTTATTCTCATGAGGAAATCTCTCTCTCTTAAAGGTGTCATGGGTCCCATATCCAACATAGTGCTAGGAAATACAAGTTTGAATAAGAAAGATGATTTGCTAAGCATTTTGGTTGTGGTGGTAAAGTAATGCCATCATGCAATCAGCCTATTTGATAGACTGAAATAGTACACTAACTACTACTACTACTACTACTAATATTTTTATTATATATGCTACAATCTTACAGGTTTATCTGGAATGAGAATGAAGACTCAGATAACTCTTGGTAAGAACAGAAAAAGCATGCCAATATTTTTTTCTTGGAATTTTTAATAAATACACTAAATTGCTTAAATTAATTGATCTTTTTTTTGAAAAATAAGGGAGCAAAGGTTGGCTAAAAAATATTATGACAGATTATTCAAAGAGTATTGTATAGCTGACCTTTCCAGATACAAAGAAAATAAGGTACGACATCATAAGCATATTAAGGGGTGGGCCTTTATTTGGTTAGTCATAAAGAAGGGTCTTCCTCCTCCTTTCTCAAATCCATAGAGACTCCTCTTTATGCTGAAGTTTACCAACCCCTTTTTTTCCAATTCATAGAGGATCTCTAACACTGAAGTTTACCAACACCACGTTCTCCGATTCCACGATCTGCCTCTGGATATATCAAAATAAATTAAACTTTTATACTCCTGGAATGGTCATTAACTAATTAGCATTGTTTTGTTAGATTGCATTACGCTGGAGAATAGAAAAGGAAGTAATCGAAGGAAAAGGTGACAACTACTTCTACTGTCTCTTGTAGCTATTTTATTTCATGAACACATGCCATCATCAAAAATATAGTTAATTGTTGGATGATTTAGATGCAGAGTTACATGGGAGGGTTAGACGCTCATAAATATCTCTTTTACATCTCATAGGTCAGTTTGTTTGTGGAAATAAAAAATGTCAAGAAAATGAAGGGCTGAAAAGTTGGGAGGTGAGTCTTGTATATTGTTGTTCAAAACTATCGTGATATTAACCCATTTTCAAATGTTGTTACCTGTTTTCAGGTCAATTTTAGTTATGAAGAGCACGGCGAGAAAAAGAATGCTTTAGTAAAATTAAGTAAGTATTTTAAGGATGTTAATGCGATATGATGGACACATAGCTTGAGCATACTGTCTTTCCATGTCAGTCCTTGTGTCATTCCCTAGAGTATCATTTCTTTGTTTAACGTTCGCGAAGACACATGAAATATGGATGCGACTTGAACAAAGAATCTGGCTTATTCTCAAAAGAATGAAACATGGTCTAAAAAGAGAAAACATAAGCCCAAGCTAAAAGAGTCTATTGGTATTATGAGTAAGGTTACTGGCAGGGTTCTACTCATTTAAATTTAATACAAATTTGTCACTGTATTTTAACCTCAGGACTGTGCCCAGATTGTTCCTTCAAGCTCAACTATCATCATCAGTAAGTAAATTTAATGCCCTTTTTAAGAAACCTTTTAAACAAGTCTTCAAAATTCATACTTAATCATGTTTAGAACAGTATCTTCTTTGCGGTTATTTTTTCTTTGCAAGAAGGTTCTCTGTTCCAAAACATCATTTGAAAAATTCCCCTTTCTAAAAAACGCATTTTGAACCTTCTGAAAAAGGCTTCTACCCCAACAAATCTTTAGGAATAAGGTGTTCTCTTCGTATCAACTTAAGTAAGGTTCCCCTTGTTCCAACTCCTATAATGTTTTAGAAAAGGTCCTAATGAATTGGGCATCCTTTCCCATAGGAATTAGAATAAAAAGGCAAAAGACATGGTTGCAATGCTTGTTGCCGTAGCAGAAAAAACTATATCATCAAGTGGAACCCAGAATCGCCTCCTTCTTTGGGGAGGGGAGGGAGGGGAAGATTTGGAAGGGGATTTGTTTTAAACTTAACCTTACAGCTGCTATTTTTGTTGCTTGTGGTTTAACAACGAAGAAGGAAGTTGGCAAAACAAAAGAAAAAGGAAGACAAAGAAAAAGAAAAACGCGAAAAAAGATCCAGATCAAAAAAGAAGAGAAAAAACAAAAGAAAACGTGATGGAAAAGATGAAGATAAAGATGATTATTCATCCAGCTCAGAAGAAGAAAAATCGGAAGAGGAAAGTAAAATATCTTCTCACGAGAAATCAGGTAAGATTGACACAGTTTGTTAAAACAAACCTTCAAATGGCATTCTTATTATTATTATACATCTTGCTTATCATCGTATTTGTCTGGGATGAAGATGAGGAGAGGACGATGATTCCATCTTTTATTTAACAAAATTAACATAATCTAAAAGGTATGAAACGCGTTATATATGGCACAAATAGTCTTCTCAAGCAGAAGCTACTTATCTTCATCTGAGCCCGGCTGTACGGAGGGTAGATAGTGGTAATGGATAAATTTATTGGATAAGAGCATTGATTTATCCACTAGATATGGATTTATCCTTTAGACAGCGCTATCCACCCTTCGTACAACCGTGCCCTGGAGTGAAGTATTATGAGATATTACATTGGGTTATTTTTTGTATAAACATCCAATAATGTGATGCACATCTTGATTGCATCATATAAAATACATTCATGGTCTAATAACTGATCTTCACATACTTGGTAACTCTACTTATTTTATTTTTCTTGAAGATTCTCGTGAGGAGAGAGCAAGTACGAGTAAAGATGACGAGCCAGAAGATATCTGGAAGGGGCCTGCTAAAGTGCAGGTGGACAAAACAAGGTAAAACTACTGAACCAGTCTCAATAAATAGAAAAAATAACAGTGCAAAACGAAGACCAACTAATATCCCCCATTTCTATTTTTCAGGGAGGAAGAATTCGAAGAGTATTTTCAAGATATGTTTGTGTAACAAAGTTGTTGATCGAAAACAATCTTGAATTCATGGAGGTCAGGTCACGTGATTCGTTATGGTCACGTGGCTTTCTGATGTCACGTGATTAGGGTGTAGAATCCAGAAGGAAGAATCAGGCAGTATGGTCGAGCAGGTAACTTAACAAATACTCAGGGATGTTTTGTCTATATAAGTATGGTGGAAAACGTTGACCTGCATCGGTAGCAAGTGTGGCCATAGCTCTAGAGGCTGCTCCTTTTGTTTCGTCAATTTTTAATTTAATTTTTAGCCTCAAAGCGCACAGCAATTGGGGTTTCTTACTCTTCCTTCAAAAACGTCAGATTCTCCCATGGTTAATCAAAATTACAAAAATAATAGAAAGTAGTAAAAATTTTCCTTTATGTTAAAGTGAATGCATGCAAGTTTGCATGTTTTTGTATACACTAATAAATCATTTCTAGGTTAGCAGCAAAAGATTGCAGTTGCCCTCTTTCATTATGTGGAAATGAAACATGAGGCAGCATTTTCTCTGTTTCTCGGCTAATTATATGACTGATCCTTCCGTAAACAGGCCGAATGTCCTCGTTATTTTGTCTAAATACTAGAAACAAGAAAGAGCCACACTTCCATGCGGGAAGAAAGGGAGGTATCCACCCCCTCCCTACCCCACTTTATCTAACACACTTTTCGTGGTGTCTTTGCTTTAAGTTATAACCTTAATATCTAAGAATTTATTGGTACGCCTTTAAAAACGGATGCGAGGGAGACCAAGGGACGCCACGCATGCGCGGTTAGGATGATCTAGCAGACGTGCCTTATTTATCTGCCCACTGCGTTCGTAGACATTCTCCCAGTAGTGAACTGTTTCTTAGTCTTTGTGAGATACTTTTGCCCTCTGGCTGAAAGTAAGTCAAACTGGCCGAGTCTGAGTTCAGGCGGACAGTTCGCTGACTCACATTGCTTGTGGCTCTCTGCCTCCGGAACCGAATGAAGCGCAAGAACAGTTTCTTGAATGCTCTTCTGTAGCCACGATTCAAACAAGTGTAGATGACAGGATTTAGACACGAATTAAGGTATTCCAGCCACTTGATGACGTTTAAAACCACATTAGAGACCTTGAAACCAGGGACGTGTGCAAACCCCATCACAACGATAAAGAATGGGCACCAACAAGCAACAAACACTCCTATCACGACTGCAATAGTCTTGGCTGCTTTGACATCAGTCGTGTAATTCCGTCCTATCCGTCGTACCTGTTGCCTTGCAACCAAATAAATCCGAATATACATGACGATCATTATAGCCAGCGGACAAAAAAAGCTGCCAAACGCTGCAATGTCCATGTATTCGTTACCAGGCCACCGAACAAGACGAAGGCAAGAAATGACCGCGGCGTAGACCCAAACAAAGAAGATTATAACGATAGCTTTTTTTGACGACATAATATTTTCGTAATAAAAAGGCATTGTTATTGCAAAATGCCTATCGATACTGACAGCCATCAAGTTCATTATTGATGCTGTTCCACATAATATATCCATGCAGTCCCAGAAAAGTTTTAGTTCGGGGCCAAAATTCCATCGGTTGTCGGTGATTTGAAGGGCGCACCAGAACGGCATGGCCACCAACGCTACGAGAATGTCAGACGCGCTAAGACTCACCACGAAATAGTTACAGATCGTGCGCAACTCTGGGAAGATGGAGAAACTGGCGCATACGAGGGAGTTTCCCAGTATTGTCAGGAATATGAGTAGTGCAACAAACATGGCTGCGATGATGTTTGATTGACTTGGGTCGATGTCCATATTTGGTGTTGTGGAATTCATTTTGGAACTCTTGCACGGATTGAACTTGGAGAAACGAGCTAAAAAGGGAAAAATATATATGAAAAACAGTAATAAGAACTATTCTCGTTTATCTTATTTGAAGAACTAGGATATTCTTGAAGACCCGTATCTGACTGGGCGCCATCTTGGATTCGCATGCCAACCGTCATGGCAGATTTTTAATTTACATATATGATCCTCGAGACGTCACACACACTATAAGAACTGCTTCGACAAAGAAAGACTATTGCAATATCTGAATAATTTATATCTGTAGTGATGGGAAACCGTTGCAGATTAAAGATTTAGGTCTAGAATGGGCGCCATCTTGGTTTTGCACGCCAACCGTCATGTCGGACTTGTAAGAGCTACTGCGCCAAACCACTCAGATTATGATATCAAAAGATCTAGGCTGCTATTTAATTTGTAGCTCTTAAAATTCTTATCTATACCGATAGTAGACTAATTATTTCGACTTATTTTGACTTGTTCTAAAAAGTAAAAGTGAAAACTACTTTGCGTGGAACTTCCGAAAAGACTTTTGTTGCTCTACTCAGACAACTATCTAAAACTTTACTCATATCAGACTAAACAGCATAAATATGAAACAGTGACTGTAATTAGTACAATACGTTATCAATACCGTGGTGATAAACACCTTGGATGTTAAGAGCTGATTTGCACGAAATTCTCGATCGCTGGTGCGAAAATTTCCTCTATTCGAAAGGAATGAATTTTCGGAGCATTTTCGTAAAAAATTGACATTTTTATAAAATATTGTAATACGAACCTTTAACTCAAGGCGGCTGCAATTTGGTTGCTACGAAATCCTAAAGATGGAGTTTTCACGCCTTTTATATCAGGATATGAATGCTCAAATGGTCTAAATTATTAAGTTAACCAAAGGTTTTAAAACCCATTTCTGCAATTTAAGTATGCAAATACATAAGGCTTTTTGTGAAAATTAGGTGGCAACTTGGACAGGTCTGTTAAGTGCTGTTGTTACAGTATTGCGGTCCGAAGTCTTAAATTAATTGGAACGTGTTCAACATGGTGCTAATGACTTGGCACCCACAAGCGAAAATTTAAAATAATAAAACATGTTTACATATCACGTATAATAAATGCCTTCATTTATTCGTAAATATGGCTTTATTTGTATTTTTAATTGAAACAAACCCATAAAATAACGGCTAGGAAGCTGGTGATCTAAGTGTTACATATAAATACGTTGTCATTTAACTGAATGCTTTTGCTTTTCAGATGCAAAATCAAATTAAATTTGCACACAATTTTTCCCCCTCTAAATCTTTATATTGATTTTGGTCTTGGCAAGATCATTATAACAAAAAGTTAATAATAAGACTAATATATTGAATTTGCAGCACAAAAGAAAAATGCAGAGTTACAGAAATTATTTAACTCGTTAATTAATAAGTACCTGTTAACATTTTTAACATGAAGCTTTTTTAAAAATATTCTCTCTTTAAGGAAAACATAAATACTGTCGTTCTTCTTGTAGGAAAAGTACCCAAATTACTTAAATTTAATTCAGATTAGAGGGTTTAAATGTGAATTCATTTTTGTTGAAAATTAAAGTCGAAGTCTTGCAAGAAGAAAGTATTTTATGACTATTGAAAACTTAGTTTACGTCTGTCGTATTTTTTGTAAAAAGTTTAAGTTACTTACAATGTCCTGTATCTTGCTTCGTATAGTTCTGGATATTTAGTTAAAATTTCTAACTCTGCTGTTCTTTATGTAGTACTCAGTGTTAAAATTTCGTGTCACTTGTCAGACTTCTATTTCCCGTAAGATAAGCCAATGTTGACGCGATAAACTCCGCATCACATTTAGCCCTATCGATTGCAGATCTGTCGTAAACAAGTCATCCCGCGAGAATCCCGGGAGGAGTTTGAGGACACCTAATTTTTCGGGATTTTATATAAATTTTCTTAATTCTAAAAACCAGCATCACTAGGATTAATCGTCAAAAATGCGGATTACTTCAAAATGTAAGAATCAAAATCACAATAGAATCTTCCCAGCGTGCACTTTTTGAAATCCGATCGTCTTGGCCTAGAGTTCCAATTGCAAGCGGTGTCTTACCGGAGCCGGGCTTCAAAACAACCGTTTTACTTAATTCTAAACTATTGCATGGAAGTAGTTTATCCGCTCTTTTGTGATTCTTCGGTCGGAATTCCGCACTCAATTGCGATTCTGTGTAGCGTGATAGCAATATTTGACTCGGTTCTTTATCTTGTAAATACATTGTCTTTTCCTACTCGGGAACCTAATGAAATCACGCGCTCTGAGTGGTTGTGTTTGTCCTATGACGATGCTTCTTGAATTCCCATCCGGGCCGACGTATTCCCGCCTCAAGAACTCTGTCTTGGCGGGCCCTTTTCTTTTTCAGTCCACCTGCGAATTCATAAACTCATTCTTAAAGGCTCAGTCAAATGAACTTTAATATTTGTCGTTGTTCACCAAAAAGAAAAACCCTTTTGTATCTTAAAGTAACCGGGTGCAAAATTTTAAGTTCACTTAAATCCGTATTAAATCTTATCTCAGTCACGAACTTAAGGTATTACAGTAAGGTTCACCCAACCAACAGCGTATTATTCCATTATGATTTTTATTAGGGCGAAGTGTCTTACAAAGGCGTGGACTTGGTAGCTTCTGACAATACATGGACTATGAATTTAAAATCAGTGGCTTCCCATGTAACAAAGATATACGTGTTTTATCATGTTTCCACTTGTCATGTCAACTCTTAGTCCTTGGCGAGCGAGTGAGTGTCTTCTTTATGTTACTAAAGTAGTTCCATTCAATTTTTTTTTTTTTTTTTTTTTTCACGAAAGCTGTTTCAAAAGAATAATTGTAAAAATAAAACAGAAATGATATAGTATAGGTATAGTAAAAAAAACTTAACTTAAAAAAAAGTAGTATACATTGGATGGATTTTTTAAAATATCTCCCTGTACTAAGTGTCTGTCTGAATTTCTCTCTATATTTCTCTTTCCCTTTCGCTTTTCCCTCTCTTCTTCAATCTCAGTTTTATTGGAGAAAATCTCCATTACATTTGAAAAAGCCTTGAATCCATAAAATCATTAAGTCCAGACAGTGGGTGCAAACAAGAATAAATTGCCGTCTAAATCTAAGTCCTTATGCTCGGTATTATGTCTTTGAGCCAATTTGCTTCAGACAAATTTCCCTTGTAGTTACAATATATTTCAATATTTCGCCGACTGCAGTTAACGCCTTAACAAAGTATTAAGTTTCAAACTTTATTTTTATTTGATTGAAAATATGCTCTCATTTGGCTTGTTATCTTTTATCTTGTCGGTTTTTTATTCCCTTCGCTCTGCTTTCCCTTTTTTCCTTCCTTTCAAATACCTTCCTCTCTCGTTCCTTCCTTTTCCCTTCATTTCCATTTTTCTTTCTCTGCTTTCTCTTCACTTCCCTTTCGTTCCTTTCCTTTCCGCCCAATGTAGTTTTTTTTGAAAAAAGGTATTTTAGTAGTCTCCGCTATCCACACCGTTATTTTAATTTATATTTTCTGAAATTTGCAAATAAATTTTTTTTTAAATCCTTTTCCATCCCCCGCCCATTGTTGATTTTTCTAGATATCTAAAATAACTTTCCCGTGCACATATTGTAAACAAGCTTTTGACATCGACCAAAATTCATGTTTATTTAGTTTTTTCGTGTTATATCGTGGGAACTTGACGCTGGAGTTCGCACTGTTTCATATCAAAGATATTGTAGTTAAGATATCTAGATATATATAGGTCTACAAAGCTCGCGGAAGTGTCATCAAAATGAATTGGCTTAATTTAGTGGATTTAATCAGATATATTGATGAGAAAATTCATTGGAAGAATGCAAGGACAAAGCAATAATTATGAAAATTAAAGCTTTTCATATTTTTATCGTGTTCAGTTTTAAAAACCTTCATTTTAAATACAAAAATGCTAGAAAGACTGCCCACTTGAAAGGCTAACGTTTTTTTTTTTCTCTCTTTTGCTTAAACTTTTTTTCTGCTCTCTATTTGCTATTTAGGTGTTGTTTTTTAAATTTATTTGTGGTCTTTGAGCACATATAAAACATGACTGAAGAAAATGCGGCCATAACCAGAAAAATTAACGTAAAAATTGAAGTATTTACCTTTGGTGTTTTAAATTCATTAATCGTCATAAACAGATAGCTTTACCAAGGAAAATCTCCCATAACTATTGATGTTATTTTCTTCCAGCTACTGAGATCGTCTTACAGATGAATTTAACAGTTAAAATGTTCAACTAGGTTTCGACATTGAAAGATGACATGGTAATGTTTACCCAGCTGAAAGATGGATTATACCATAAATATTTTTTCTAAAAATCAAATCTACTATAAATAGAAAAACGTTATATAGATGGCAATTTTTGAATATCTCGAAATTTTTATGCATTCATCTCAATATGTTTATCGACATTGAAAGATTACATGGTAATGTTTACCCAGCTGAAAGATGGATTATACCATAAATATTTTTTCTAAAAAATTAAATCTACTTTAAATAGAAAAACGTTATATAGATTCAATTTTTAAATATCTCGAATTTTTTATGCATTCATCTCAATATTATATGAAATCGTTAAAAACAATAAAGTATTTTCAGTAGCAGAATATTTAGTATGAAGTATTAAAGAATATGTATATAAACCGAAACGTGTCGTTCAATCTACATCAGGGCGTGAATTCTTCAAAAGATGAAGTCCTTTTCTGCCAATATCGAATAAAGTTTTAAAATGTTTTAAAAAAATAAAAACTTACTTGGTTTTTGGAGAAAAAAGGTTTCTTTTTGCTGTCAGCAACAGTGGTTTTGGTTTAATGCCGGCTTGTTTATCTGCCAAAATAATCTAACGATTGGGCCCTTCGCCAAATGATCAGAACAACGACTCCACAGGAAGCCCAAGCTATATTTCTGTAAATTTATTACGCCCTAGCAACATCCAGTCCGATGTACGGAGATTACGTCAGTTGTTAAACTATTCACAGTTCACGAAGGTTCTAGGCAACCAATCAGAATGCTAATGGATACGTTAAGAAATTGATCGGCTATAATTAGGTATTGGATCTATGAAAAATCAAGAACAGTAGCACGGGTGGGGTGGTGCGGTCGGAGAGTCACCCCAGCCACAACAGGACTCCAACCAGCTCATGTGCAGAGTCAGTAGGGAAACTGAATTCTTTCTCATGTAAATCAAGCTCACCATTTTCCAGACATCGTTTCGCTGGTCAAACACAAAGCATTCAGTCGAGGTTGCAAGGTTCAAATTTGAATAATCAGTTGAAAGTACCTTGGCGCCTCGCTTGAGCGCTTTGTGTTTGACCAGTGAAACGATGTCTGGAAAATGGTGAATTAGACCAGATTTAATTATTCCTGCCTCCCGTCATGCCTGTCATGGCTGCCATCACGTGATGGTGCAAAACCTCTACGTGAGATATATTTTACTGTTATGTTCATTAACCTCGATCGAATACCTGAATACACAAACAAGTACTTCCACTAACATACGCAATTACACTCTGACAGTCTGGTAATAACCATCTAAAACAGGTGTTCTATTCCCATCTATGCTTGAGATTAATTACTGATCACTCAACGATGCCCACCTAATTATGCGGGACACAGGAAGTAGTTTTTAAAGTGAATTGTTGCAGTATTTTTTCGCTCTCGAAATTTTTATATTTTTCCACAAAAAAAGTTCGGACTCTTTCTGACTTTGTCTATTGTAAATTATGTTTTCCTGTCTCACTATTCCACTGTGCAGTGGAAGACAAATTTTATGTCTCAATCCCTGTCGGTCTGGCAGTCTGTCTGTGGGTCTGTCCGTCTGTCTGTCCTCTGTCCGTCTGTYTGTCTGTCCTTCTGCCTGTCCGCCATTTTGACGCTATTTTCTTATTTTCTTTAGATAAGTTATTGAAATTTTCCATTGAACAATTCATGTTCATGTTCATTCAGTTTCATTTTCTCAAACATTCATATTTGTTCCCTTCCTTTAGTTCATTTCCCACATCGCAATTTTTACATATTCATTTTTCATGGATGGTAATCGATCTCAGCTTTTATACTTCAATTTTCTATTGCTGTTATCACTCCGGATCTTACGGTGATAATCTCTCTTACGTTACTTCCTCTATAAGCTTTTTTTCATCCGAGAAAAATTTGTGAGCTGAATGATCGAGAACGAAAAATTCCGATCAGAAAGACCAAATATATACTATATAGCAACAGCAATTTTGCAACAACAAAAAACTTACCAGAGATGGATTCTCCTTTGCTATTTTGCTCTGCTTTTTCCTAAATAAGAGAAAAATAGGTAATTTTAGCGAAAGGAATTATTTCAATATTATCGCATAGAAATTGTTTCCTTGAAAGATCAACAAAGTTTTCCAAAACTCATACAAAATAAGATACTCCGTCTGGCAAGCGAATAATCAAAATGTTATTATTTCAACTGAACTTTGTTTGTTTATTATTATAGGGTTTATTCCTGACGCGCTTGAAAAGTGAAAGCTGTTCAGTTCATCGTCGTATGATAATGAGATTCATTAAGGAAACCTTTTCGCAGTAAGGAAAACCATTCTAGTGCTGGCGAATACCTTTTCACTGTCGTCCGCTATGAGAAAAAAACCATTTCGATGCCACCGAAGAACCCATTTCAGTGCTGATGGATTAAGTGTCGAAGATATAAAGTACACTTTAAATAAAAAGGGCTTACTTTAGATAAATCTCCAGTTCTTATTTTGTTGGCTCTTGGGTGGATGGGATAGTTGATCTTGATCAGGAAACACCCTTCGAAACTAAAAACAGCAATTTCCCGTGCTATATTTATCGTCTGAATCTTGAAATTTCCAAGCTTTTAGTGAAAACAAAACTCGTTTGATTGTTTGAATTTTTTTCTTGACTTTTGATTATTCACTTCAGTTTCAGTGCGATAGTCATCAGTACTGAAAATATAGTTTCAAAAGCATGTCGTAGCGAAACCAATCAAGACGACATGCAACGAATTACAATAACAATAACCATATAATCTTTCTAACGTCAAATCTAACAGTACTTCGAGAACGTTCGATCATATCCGATAATGCTATTATAAATCCACTTTCCTTGGGTTGCTTTTCCCAGTAAATATTAGCCATAAATAGATGGCTGGAGGGTCAGACGTTGGCTTGATTTTTTTCTTGCGTTCGGCTGTAGTTCGTTGTAATATTTATGTTTTAGACAAGACTGGTTATTTCGCAATATTTGTCTCCTTTTTGCATCCTAATGTTCTCGACCTCCACTAGACAAAATATTCAACTTATGTTTTAATTTTTGATGAGAGAAGATAACAAGAGAATTTGATAGGAAAACCTTAATTCTGGCGAGAGAGACGGACGGAAAGAAAGAATGAAGGGAAGGAAGGAAGGAAGGAAGAGGAGATGAAAACAAGAAAGGAAGGAAGGAAGGAAGAAATAAAGAAATAAAGAATGAATGAAAGAGAGAGAGAGAGAGAGGACAGCTATAAAAACCTGAGGTCCGCATGGTGCTCTGAAGTTTGAGCCCACGATCGATCAACCACTATTGATGGATTGCAAGCATTCCCAAGAAAGTCAAAAGCCAAAAGCATTGCGGCCATTGTGGTGTCGTTAATAATGAATGCTAATCTCGACCTGAAACCGAAAAAGGCCTACTATTTTTACGATTTTCATTTTCCAATGAAATGACACTGATCTTTAGATTGTTTCAGTGTGGTACAAACTCATATAAACTAGGTATAGCAACTGCATATATTCTGTAAAATTTCAAACTAGCTTCTACATATTCGTTGCAAATTTTACATTGCGTTGAACGTGCAAGAGTACAAACCCCACTAATATGAAGTATCAAGCAACTATCTCTGTGGGAACTGGATACTATGGCAGAGCGACTACATATATTCTGTGTAGAATTTCAAACTAGCTCAAATTATTCGTATTTAAATTCCGTGAAAGATTGCATTGAATCTATAGTACAAACCTCACATATTCTCAGCGTACTGAGTTTGTGTAGTTTTTCTTCCGAGGTATTCTAATCGGTTTCTTTAAATTTACTGCCGACATGAAAACCATACAAGTGTTCGAAAAAGTTTGTCAGTAGAACTTTATCAGGCATCAGCCGTGCACTGAAGTCGGAAGCTGTCGTTCATCAGACGCTGTACAAATAAACTATTTGAACTGTATTTTCAACAAAAGAGTACTGAAGGGATTGTGCAATAGAAAAAGGACCAAGGTTAAGCTGATTCGATACAATATGATTGTAACGAAGAATCATCGTTTCCATTAGAAGAGCATCATTGACTTAAGGATAGAACTTAATACCACTGTATTCTGTTGCCGGCTCCGGACTTAAGAACACTAGAAAAACTGATTATTCACGAGTAGAGAGATATTCTACAGTACAACTGACATATTGATCTCATTTGCTTATGTTTTATTAACACCTTGTTGCTCATGGAATAACTTTAAAAGTTTTCTAGTGACAATTCAAAATTTTTCAATGTTAAACTTGGTCTAAGTTGGGGCTTTCTTTTGGTCCTTTTTCACTACTTCATACAGACCCAATTCATTTTATTTCTCAAACGATTCTTTCTCATTCATTATTTTAATTGTTTGGTTTTTGATGAGTTGTGAGACAAGATCCATCCTTTACTCTTCCGTTTCTTATTCACAGTGAACATGTCACTTCTTATTCAAAGAATTCATTAGTGAAGTTAAAAAATTAGAACGTTTTTCTTCACCTAACGAGATAAATAAGCGAAGCCGAGAAAATGTTCTCTGCGAGTGACCAATTTCCTAGACAAATCACTATATGCTACATTTCTCTTTATTGAGACCGCAGTTGGGAAAAAAGTTAATTGAAAATCTTTCTTCACTCCAACGTAGTACATGCATGTATTCACAAATGAAGCACGCCGCAACGATTATGTTATTCTATTACTGTACACTGTAATTGAAATTGCCCTTCATTGGTCTGAATATTTAATACTTACTTTACTCCTGGGCAGAAGTTCTAGCTCCTATAAATGGTTTTTATTCAACGGTCTCAAGCCTTGAAGGAGCGAGCTCTCACTGATACATAAATGTCCTTTGGAAAACTACCACAGCCCTAATCACCGAGGTCGTGAACGGAAATGAAGGAGTGCTAGAAAAAATTCCCTTTTTTTCTTTAAAACAACGGGCAAATATCGTTATACAGTACTTAGTGTATCTTGCAAATTATTGACTAATAAACTGGAGTTTTTAACTGTTCATGGATATTCTCTCACTTAGCCGGGAAAAGCTCAAAGGATACCGCCTCACTCGATCAGGAAGCGTATTTGATGGAGTAGTTTCTTTTGAACTATCAAGCAAATGTTGAATAATTGATTGTAAATTAACAACTTTTCACAAAAACAGCTTGTGTTATGTAACCGTTTAATCTAAGCTACTGTTTTCCAGGTTTTCAATAGGGTCCATTGTTCCAAACCCAACCGGTTGATACTTGATTCTCGGCAAAGAAAAGGGCTGTTTTTTCAAATGGGTTTTGTTTTCGTGAGCTTCGCTGCATTATCTTTATTGCTCATACCGCATAATTGAAAAGCCGAAAATTGATAATTAATCATCCCCTCAGGGCAAGGGATAAAAAGAGAAGGAAAAATAAGACAAAAAGGAATGAAAAAAAAAGTCAAGGAATGAATGAATGAAAAAAGGAGCAATAGAAAACGATAAATAGCTAAAATGAACGAAAAGCAATATTGATGTTAACTTTGCTGAGCTTGCTTATTTGTATTCAAGATAGAGGCTCTTAAAAGCCGGCACTAAGAACGTTAGGATGATAAGAATATTGTACCCATTTGCACTGTGAATCGGTATAATGAGACTATCTATTGCGCATGCTCTATGCGTCGAACACGTGACAGAGGCACGTACCAAAACTTTAACCGATCATAATAGACAGGGCAGAAAAACGGGTTCTACTTTCGACGTTTATGCGTTAATAAGCATTATATTTCATAAACAGGCTCGTTTGGGGCTGATTAAGAAAATACCAAAATTTGGAGAAATTTAAGGAATGCGTATTTGAGATATAACGCCCTGAACGTTGGGAGAGATAATATTTTGATCAGCACGAAAACTAACATTTTCGCTAATACCTCGAAGTAGAATTGCTCGAGGTTAGAGAAATGAGAGATAAAGGGAAAAAATGCGAAAGTAGCAGTAGTCGTTTTTCTTCTCTGATCATAATATGAATAGTCGAACAAGCATTCCAAGTGTCTCTGCAGGTAAAATAACAGAGAAAACTAAATCAAATAAAATATGCAGAGAAAAAATATGCTTACCTTACTGTATTGACGTTTCGGACTAAGCTTTTCGACAGATAAAACTTAAAAGCTATCGGATAAAACGTTCGAGGCGATTTGAATGACGGGGTTTTTTATTCACTTTTGCTAAGAATAATAAAACTAGTGCGCATACTCGAATAACTTTAGTCACGTGATACACCAGCTTTTCACGATAAGAGCTTTTAAAAGGTTTAAGAAGGCTAGGAAGATAAGAATATTGTCTAGGATGGACTGGATATTGTGCTCCTTAACTCTGTGAGTGAAGTTCTTAAGGCAACTTGTTCCATCGAGTGTTTTTAATCTCCCAATCTTCATTTGTTGGGTAGTGCTGGGAGCTGACTTCTCTTCATTCGCCTTACAAATCTGTGGAATGTTTATAAAATCTACTCTTTTTTAGATTGACGAGTTAAGGTTTTTTCAAAGATTTATGTTACCATTTAACTTTCTATACTATTCGAGAAAAATTTACGTGCTCTAGTTAATCTTAAAGGCAAGCTTCCCATGTATGAATCAATGTGCTTATAGCTTAGCGCATAATACTGATTATGTTGATCAACTGAATGCCATAAAATGAGCCTGAAGCAAGATTCCTTCCACCAATATATGTTCCAACAGTCATTTATCTTTCATCGCCTAAGTGTCAATGGAACTTTCTGCTTTGCACAATAAAAAGAGAAAAAATTTAAAATTATTGCATCCGTGAATAACTCCCCTCAGGGCATGCTGATGACGCGACACAAAAAGAACCTTATAGATGGCATGAATTATGTGTTTATAGGCTGAGGTTTTTTTGTATTCAGAAGGCCAGGAAACAAATGAAACCTGTTCTAATATATTAAATTTTGATTAGAATTCACTGACCTTATTTAGACTATTCAAAATAAAAACAGAACATTGAAAACCTATATTTTCAACCGAGCGGTCGTATTAATAAGGGCTGACCAAACTAAACTGACCACTGTGAAACGACCAAGAGTTTCATTAGAATTTTCATCTCTGCAGAGTTTTCGTCAAGAGACTTAAATGGTCTTACAAACTCGACGAAAAAATAATGCATTCAGAATCGCCATGTTAATCCTTGACCGGGTAATCTGGCTTTTAAGCTCGGGAAAGACGGAAGTATCACGTTAAAAAACCACCATATACACACAAAGTTAACCCTAGAATAGATAACTTTACACCTCTAACGTATACATTACTATTTCTACGTTAATTAAGATATCCTGGAAACCTGTTTTGTTTGACCCGTCTTGAAAAATTACAGAAGATCAAAAATGTATTTCATTAAAATTCTAAAACGATTTGCTTAATCTAAAAAGTCAAGAAATTCCAAAGTCCTTTTAAGTTGTTTTTTTGTTGATTTGAAGGCTTTAGATCCAAGCTTTTGAATAAGGCGATATTTGTAATGCATATAGATATCAAAATAGGTGTTGTCCAAATAATAAATAAATAATGTACAAAGGAGCTGAGATTAGAAGGCTGGAGTTCTCTCATACCAAAAACATTTGTGAGGTGATCGTGCAAGTAATGTTTTTTGTAAAAAAAA